ATGAGGTATTATGTACATTATTTACATTATTCAGACTATTGTCTTCATCTTTGTCGCCATATTTATTACAACGTTTCGGCTGTTTTACGCTCCGACCATCTTCAGGTGGTTGGAATGTCGAACTGAACCCTTTATTGTAGACTGTTCTAGTTCCACATGCCATGTTTAATGGAAGTCAGTTATCTCCTGTTAATTTCCCTCTGAAAGCTCTCCACTGCCTTAATCCAGTGACAGGACCAAAAGAGTGTGAGTTCAGAACCCGGTTAAGGTGGTGGAGAACTTGGAGAGGGGAATTAACAGGAGATAACTGATAACTGACATCCATTAGACATGGCACGTGGAACTAGAACGTTCAGTGAATGAAATAAAGAGTTCAGTTAGACAGTCCAACCACCTGAAGAAGGCTGGAGCGTACAACGTCCGAAACGTTGTAAATTATGGTAGGAGAGAACTGAGGAAGAAAGATTTATTCTCCCATTTGCATTTCTCCCATTATGGGCATTATTATATCCATGATAACACCATAGTTCATGGATGGAAAATAGAATTGCTGAAAGGAAAAGGAATGACAAACATGTTTTGTTCTTGGAGAAACTTGATACCACTAAGACATACACAAAATGATATATACATGTGTACCATGCAGAGAACAATATATATCTACACAGTGAGCAGAGCGTAAAGAGCAACAAAAAGGTTTTTACATATAATATGGAGATATTGCTGTGTTTCTGGAGAAGCCATGTTTTGGACTCCAGATTCCAGATTCATCTACTATGTCCCAGATGAGGACATATTCCACAAAGATGAAACTGAGTTTTGGGTTTTCCCAAATTGAGGACTGTAAGCCGGAGTTTCTTTCTATATCTGGGGAAAATACATTACCAAAAGGAAACAGCACCATGCACTTGTAAGCTGTAGCATCTGGCTATTTTGTTACTATATGAAGTGATATCACTAAGTGTCCATCACATAACACATGTGACTTATCTCCACCAAAGGGAGATAATGGCCTTCTGTATCCCTACAGAAGAAAAAAAAAAGTGTTCAGATGTTACTGAGAAACAGAATCATTAATTTGGTGATCAAGCATGGTGGTCCTGTGAAATCTGTTAAAGATTTGACAAGCAGTGGTTTGGAAGCATCGAAAGATCAACTTAGACTTCTGAAGGTTCTCTTAAGTATCGAGATCAACACCAGTTGAAGAATACCATCCTGGGTATGACGATAAACTACATCTGCATCCTGGGTAAGACCATAAACTACATCCAACAGCAAGGCCTCTGATCAGGAGGTTTTGAGAAGTGTGGTACCACCTCTTAATTGCTGGTGTTCTCAGGTCCACCCTGACCCAGGGTGGTAGCACCTGTTAGGGTCTCAGCTATGGGCAAATACTTAACCCCCAAACTGTGGTCAAAACACTATGAAAGTGTAAAAATAGATTTTAATACCAGAAATACTTTTTGTAAAAAAAAAAATTACTGCCAGCAATAAATTTTTGAAGGAAAGAATATTACCAAAAATAGATTTATGAAGGAAAAAAATATTAGCAGCAAAAACAATTTTGTCGGCATTAAATAACCCATTGAGGTTAATGTCATAAACCAAACCTGTTGAAGTAAATCTCAACTGGAAGCTGCTCTTTGCAACTACTTGATGACAGGTGATTCATTTCCACCTCTGAGACAAAGGAAAGACACTCAGCGATTTTGAGTATTTAGACAATTCAGGCTGTTGTGATAAAGAAACACCTCGCGTGACCTCAGTTAAGAGAGCCACAGCCAATGGGTTGCAGTATATTATTATTCCAACTTTTACATTGGCCAATCATTGGTGTGATAAAGGTTTTAGCTCCAACAAAAAAGAAAAAAAGATCCTTTCCAATGGCTTTTGTCAGATGATATTGCATAAGTGGAATCAACATCTTCAGATGGGACTTTGATCTCATGTCAGTTTTAAGTGATGGCTGGATATGGCGTGTTTCAGAAATGTTAGCCATATCAGAGGTTTAGAGAAATTAAGTCATCAAATCACCATTAGGAGAGCAAGTGCAAAAGAACCATTTATAATATCCAAAAAGTCTTTTCTATCAGTTTAAAACTGAAGAAGTCTAAAGCACTATTATAAAGTGCTTTATCTTTTTGTAAAACAAATTTAAGTTTTTTGGTCATTTACTCTCCTGTTTTTGAAGAGTTGAAAATTTTAAACTTTTCCAAAACAAGATGCAATTATTACAAAAAGTATTGATATTGCAGTGAAAAGCCGTTTGTTGAATTCTTCATCCCAAACTTAGTTTCAGATATCTACCTCCAGTGGTACCCTTTTTTATGTCAAGTTCAGTATACTTCTGAGTTGTTTTTGTCTTATAAACAGCCAGATGTGCAATTTGATCATATCTGATATAAATATAGGTTTTATTTTTTTATGAAGGTAGTAATGGGGAGAGAGAAAAAAAAAAGCCTTTGTCTTTTGTGCTATGAAGTATAGGAAGAAATTGTAAGGCATTAACTACTGAAATAAAACTTATATGATCAGTCAAATTTGCTTTTCTGTGTCATTTTTATTATTTTGTTTATGTGAATTAAGTTTTCAAAATATTTAGGCTGGTCTGATCTAAGAATTATTGATTCTATTAGCCTTATCTTTCTTTTACTTCAAGACTATCTATATGACATTACATTTATGTTTGAAGCCTGCATCTTCAGTTATACACTGTTAAAATTTCTTTTTGGTACGTGAGATGAAAAATTTGTAAGTTCTGACAAATATAGAAAGGTCAGAACACATTTGCTAATTGAGCTATGAAGATAAATTTGGTGCCATTCTTTATGGTTTGTCAAGATCTCTATGCACATATTAAAGTTTTTTTTTTTTTTCTCGATATACTGAAAATAAAATTTTAGCTTGAAATATCTAGTATTATGTACAAGTTCCTTTTGCAAGATGTTAAGTTCAGTACTTTTTTCAATAGGACTGATTAAAAGCAACAATCTATGAAAAGTATTAGGAATTGGCCAATTAGGAGGGTAGCCTTCCATCAGGACAACATTAAACCTCATGTCTCTTTGCCGCTCTTGTAGAAATCAGTACAGCTTGGCTGGAACATTCTACTACACATGTTGAATTCACCTTCAGTTTATTGCTCATTTCAATCCCCTACAAACCTTTGAAATGTCCAACAGCACATGAGATGAAAATTTTCAGTTTTTATGAAACTTAAATAGTCATAATTTTATCACTAATTGAGCTACTGAGATAAATTTTATAACCTTTATAACGTTTGTCAAGATCTCTATGCTTGTATTAAAGTCTTTTAGATCTATTGAAAATAAAATTTTAACTTGGGATGCCTAAATATATTGACTAAAAGTAGTTGGCTTTAAATGGAAAAATAAAAACTTCTTAAATGTATGCCATAAACCAAAATACTACATGTAACTTTTGAAGAAGCACGAGAAAGGATAAAACCTTGAGAATAATAAGTTCTTGGAAACAATTCTTTGGAGGGTCAAAAGCCATTCTAGTTGATCTCCTAATTAAACTTCTTTCTCAAGCTATTTTGCTTAAGGATTGAGCCAGAGTCAACATCTACACTCATTAAATATATTTTACTCCTTATGATCACCTGTGTATATGAGAAATTTTGAACAAAATTTTAAGGGAAAAAGATGGATCATATGATACACAAGTATATGTTTTCAGATATTTTTACTCGGCTTAAGAAAAAAAAATCCTTTTATTTGAAACCACAAAATTGAAAAAACAGTCTCTGAACAATAGATAATTAAACCCAAAGTAGGCAGGTGTTTATAACAATTGCTTCCAGAAGGTATTTGTTATGTCCATCAGTATATGTTGTTTAGGAATTAGCATAATTGAAAATCTTTTGTCTCAAAGACAAGAAATTCACTGAAATTGGTTTAAAAAAAAATAAGAATAAAGATCTGTCATGTTTTCATAGCATTAATATTGCAACAAAGCCCCTTTTCCTGAAAAACATCTGAAATGGAAATTAGAACCACACAATGGCTAAACATCTGGTTTATTTCTATTTAATATCATGAAAATTTAAATATTTTAGTGAAATATATGTACAACATTGAGATTTTAATAGATAATACAGTACAAAAAAAAAATATGACTTAGAAATGTCTGTACTATGCGGTCGTATTAAACTCAAGGATATAATTTCTTCCCTGTTTTTAGCTTCAAAAACAAAAGGTCGTATTATGTACAAGAAAATATGGTACTTGTAAAATCTACAGTGGCAGTTGGGAACCTGAATATCTACCTAAGTATCAAATTTTCATGAGTATAAGTGTTGTGGCCTTGTTAGGGCCAGAAATAAAGACACAAGAGAGGAACTGAGTTAAACAAATATATTGACGGAAACAGTAATACAAACATATAAATGAGTGTTACAGCAAGAATGCTCAGTCTGACTGTCAAAGCTGACTGCTGAAAACTTTGCTCACCAAAAAGCAGTACCTGCTCCTATTTATAGCTGGGAGAGACCATGTGCTTGCCATAACAATAAGAATACTGTTTGGATCTTGTAGCAAATTCTGAGAGTCTCCAGGAATTCTTATCAATTTTCCTTGAGCTCAATTTTGTTTTCATAAGAATTTGAACCATAAACCTTCTTGCCTCACCTAGAATCGTTAACAGGTGAACTACCACATTCTTTTTTTTTTTTTTATCTTTTTATTTTTTGAAGACTTCCTTGACATATACATTATTTGGGTTTAAGTCAATCTTTTTTTTTTTTTTTTTTCAAGTTATATTTGGCAATTCTTGATTTATTAGTTATTCTATTTGGATCACCCATCCCAACTTTAAAAGTCTTGTGGCATATTAAATAAATGTTAAATAGCTCAAGAAATATCAACCCTTGGTGGGAGTAGTCTTTTCAGCTGAGGATCATCTTGTGCTTATTTTAAAGTAAATACACTTGTTACATGAAAAGGAAGAAAGATTGAACAATATACATATTCCTGTAGATGAGGCGGCAACCTGATAAAGATTATGTTGGCTGTTGACCAATAACTGAAATTGGCGTTGTCTTGCTTTCTCTTTTTCCAGCAGGTGCTTATGTTGTGATAGTTTGTCTTCTTTGTTTGGCGTGAGCATCATTTCCTCCATTACTTTTTTTTTTTTTTTTTGTTTGTTTGTTTCTGTAAGGATATCTTGGGGTGGGGTTGTATATGCTTACTCTTTTTCTCTTCTCTCAGTGTTTCCTCTTTGCTTTCTTTTCAATTCCCGCTCTCTCATTCTTCTTTTTTTTTTTTTTTTTTTTCATGTCTCTCTCACTTTTTTCTTCTCTCTCACACACACTCTTTCTTCCTGTCTCTCACACTTGTTCCTTCACTCATTACTTCCTTGTCTCTGTCTAATCTTTTTCTCCTTTCTCTCTCACCTTTCTCATCTCTCTCTCTCTCACCTTTCTCATCTATCTCACTTTTCTCTTCCTGCTCTCCCGCCTATTTTTTTGACTCCTGCTTCCTTTTCTCTCTCTCTCTCTCTCTCTCTCATTATTCTGCTTTTCTTTTTCTCTCCTGCTTTTTCTGCCTCTTTCTTTCTTCTCTCTCCTGCTCCTTCTGCCTCTCTTTCTTTCTTTCTTTCTTTCTTTCTTCTCTCTCCTGCTCCTTTCTTTCTTCTCTCTCCTGCTCCTTCTGCCTTTCTTTTCTTCTCTCCCACTCCTTCTTTCTTTCTTTCTTTCTTTCTTTCTTTCTTTCTTCTCTCTCCCGCTCTTTCTTTCTTTCTTCTCTCTCCCGCTCTTTCTTTCTTTCTTTCTTGTCTCTCCCGCTCCTTCTTTCTTTCTTTCTTTCTTGTCTCTCCCGCTCCTTCTTTCTTTCTTTCTTGTCTCTCACACACCTTCTGCCTCTCTTTCTCTCTCTTTTATTCTTACCATTTTTCTTACTCTCTCTCTCTCTCTCTCTGGTTCTCTATTTCATTTCCCTTTCTTTTTCCTCGCACCAAGCCACTGGGGATATTCATATCTCCACTTGTTTACTGCTCTGTTACCCTTGAGCTGGTAAAACAGCTACTAATGGCCTTTTATAGTCTCTTTCACTTTTCCCTGTAAAGAAGAAAAAAAATCTAAAACATTGATACATGGTTAGACATTAATTTGTAACAAGCCAATCCCTATTATATGGATGTGTGGTGGCGTAATGGATCGGGGTTAGAAATGTGAAATCAGAGGACTGAGTTTGAATTCCAGTTGAGTTTATTACATTCACTTATGTGCATATACCCTTGGGAAAGGTATGACGCCCCCCCCAATCATTTATTAATAAATAGCAGGACATTCTTGGTCCTATAGCTTGGTTGGCAACCAGTCTAGGAGAAGGAAAACTCTGAATTCAAACCAGCTGGAGAGGGTTGTGCTCTGTCAGGCTATCTTGCCGAAGACGCATCACTGCAGTAAGGGGCTATGGCACTTGAGATCGTAAATCCCTATCATACACTTGTTTGAACTGTTTTCTTCATCTTGGTCGTTATGTTCACAACAGTTTGGCTGTTGTACTCTCTGACCTTCTTCAGGTGCTTGTTATATTTGGTAACATTCTTGGAATTTCAAAGTAAACCTTTTTTATTAATTTCTCAAGGGCAGGCTGTTCTCGTACCACTGTTCGTACTGAAAAATTAGCAAATGACAGGAGGAGATAGACGTTAAAATGAACAGACAGTGGGGAGCAGTCTGCCCCTATCAACTGCCGAATTTCTGTGATGTCCATCCACTGTAGCTCTTCATGCATCATTAAAAGATTAACTCTTAAAAAATCATTTTTCATGTAAGTCTTTTTATCCAACTTACATATTTCTCTTTGAGATTTTTATGTAAAGGAGGTGGTTTGATTGATTCATTTTCTTCTTGACCTTTTATTTTTACATTGTATGATTTTTGGAGGGGGGCATAATAATGGTTTAGTAATACAAATCTTACTAATTAACCCATAGTTGGGGGAGAAGAGCTGAATTCATACCTATCTATTGTAGAGTAAATAGTACACCCTCCACCCCCAGTGACTATATGAACTAGTCCTTAACTATAAATAAAGAACTGCAGGTCAGAGGTAAGGAAGAATGCAGCATTTGGAATCAGTCTTCAGACATTAATACAGGCATCATGGTAAGTAGCCGAAGCGTTACTTATATCATAAGCACTATGAAGCATATTATACCCATTGTGATGAGGATTTGGAACTTTTATGACTTACAACAGTAACGAGGATTCAGGAACTCATACGAGTTGTAACTGGAGTTACAAGGAGTTTGAAAACTCATACTGAGTGAATAGGTACAGAAAAAAAAATATATTTGTTGCTGCAGGAACAAGGACACAAGTGATGAGAATTTTAACCATTTTGGTTTTAAAAAATTTTTTTTTCTATTGAGTTTAGGAAAAAATAAACATTCTTGCAAATATGGCGCAATTTTTGGTTTTTATAGTTAAAATTCAACTACAGAAACAGCAACAATATAAACAGTTGCTAGAATTATCAAAACAGTAACAGTTGTTAGATATAATTCTGAAGAAAATAAAAAAAATTCTTCAATGTTTCTTATGCCAAATGCTGTCCAAAACACAATATCAGAATTTGTATACAATCCTGATGAGGGACTGATTTTTTTCTGCATATTTTCGTAGATATGAACAAATATTCAGTCAGGAATGCAGCGGCTTGGAAGATGAAAGAAAAACGAGATTGTTGTTGAGGAAAATAGCTCTGATAGAGTATGAAAAATACTGCAACTACATATTACCAAATTACCATTGGCAGCATTGGAAAAAGTCAATGAAGCATTGGACAAACTTGAAAGAATTGATGTAATAGAAAAAAATTAACCATTCAAAATAGGCTGTGATGTATGTAAAGAAAAAAATAATAAAATTTGTATTTGTGTGGATTTCTTGACAGAACTAAACAATTGTTTAAAAACACATAACCTACCCTACCAAGTCTGGAGGAAATTTTTTCGAAGATAAACAGCAGAAGAATATTTTCAAAGCTGGATCTCTCTGAAGTGTATTTACAAATGCAGATTGAAAATGAATGTTCAGAATTAATGACCGTAAACATGCATGAAGGCTTATATGTTTAGCTGACTTCCTTTTGCTATAAAGTTGGCACTAGTTATTTCAACAAGCTATGAATACCATGCTTGTCGATTGCAGTGGTGTATCTGGACGACATTTTAATCAAAACTGTATCTAAAGAACATGTTGGGCATGGGAAAAAAAATTTGGAAAAACTAAGAGATTCAAGCTCAGTGAAGAAAAATGTGAATTATGTTTGTTGAAAATGAAATACCTTGGTCAAGTTATTGATAAAAATTGTCATCAACCAGATCCATTGAGGACAAGTGCAGTTAAAGATATGCTTCCACCAACAAGGTTTTTCCAGAACTGGCTAATTACTATCAAATATATGTACATAATATGCATAATATGAGATCTATTAAAAAAGGAGTAAAGTGGAACAGAAATGATAACTGTCAAAAAGTGTTTGACAAAATAAAAAAAAGACTTATGTCAGATTTATCATTAGCACACTATGATCCAAAAGCAGAAATTGTGGCTTCAAATGCTAGTGAGTATGGTAATGGAGTGGTGATTTTACACAAATACAGTGGCGGTAAAATGAAAGCTTTCACCTATGCTTCATGTTCATTTTACCAGCAGAGAAAAATTACAGAAAAAGAGGCTCTAGCAATTATATTTGCTGTGAGGAAATTTTAGGTTGCAAACGGACCACAGCTAATAGACTGCAACGCTGGGGTGCCACCTTTTATTAAACTGATTTTACGATAGAGTACCAACTGTCAAAAAATTAGGACATATGGATTGATTATCAAGATTAATACCTAAAAATGCAGAAACATTTGAACCACGAGGACACAGTCATTGTAGCACTAAAAAGTAAATGAAAATAAAAACATTTTGTGCAGTGTAGTACGAGATTTACCAGTTACCCATGAAGAAATAAAAGAAAAAGATGGAAAAAGACGTCTTTATTGCAAAAATAAAAAGCAATTGGAAGAAAGTAATAAAGAATACTTAAATGCTTACTTGCTATGTAACTGTATAGTAATGTTCAGGCAAAGGTTGTAATACCTAGTGTGTTACAGAAGCAAATATTAAAGGATTTTTATAGCGGACATTCTGGTATTTCAACAATGAAATTTCTGATGCAAAGTTTCGGATATAGGACCAGAATGGTTGCAGAGGTGTTATGGCAGCAAAACTACCTATCATAAAGAGAGAACCTTGGCCAAAGACAGACACGCCATTGTCAAGACTGCATATAGATTTTGCAGATCCTATGGATGGATCATATCTTGTGGTTGTTGATAGTTTTACAAAATAACCAGAAATTTATTAAAAAATTTATTAAAAGGGACAGTAAATTTCTTGCATGGACTGTTTGCGAGATATAGCATATCAGATACCATAGTCTTTGATAATGGAATGCAATTCACAGGTAAAGAATTCAGACTTTTGTAAGATGTTCTCCATTGAACATATGACCCCGCTGTATCACTCAAGGTTGAACGGACAAGTGGAATGTTCAAAAGAACATAGAAGGAAGCAAGTCTTGAGAAAGTAAATGAGGAAGCACTTCAAAATTTTCTGTGAGTTTACTGGGTAACACCTAACCCCAATACACCACCAGGCATGTCACTGGTGGAATTAATGTTTGTTAGAAAAGTAAAATTGATGTTCGACAAGTTATTACCAAGTCGAAAAACACAAATGGATAATAAAAACAACACCAAACATTTCATGGTTGACGATAAAGTATTCTTTAGAGCATATAAGCATGGCAAAGAAATGTGGGAGGATGGCATAATATTAGCAAGAATCGGAAAGTCGATTTACTTGGTAAAAGGGAAAAGATTTGAACATAAAAGGCACCATAATCAACTGAAAAAAAAGGTTCATTGATGAAAATGTAACGAAAGACATGACTTACCTTGGAATTCGAAATGAGCGCGAACGTGTCTTGTCTGCAAAGTGATGACAAAAAATAATATGGCTGCTATTGAAGACAATTTATGTGTGCCTATCTTGTACAAGACGAGATGATATTTGCACACATGCAAATTTTGGCCATCTTGGAATAGCATAAAAAAGTGGGGTGCCTGAAGCACGGCGAGAGAAGTCATTCGGCGGACTGCGTGTGTTAGAGTTGGACGTACAGATTGGCAGACAGACAAAGAGGAAGTTGAAGTAGGCATGGCTGAGTTGGTGTCTATTTCACAACTGCCCAGTGTAATGGCCGAGAAAGGGAGCTATGCAATCCATTTCCTTGAGACAACTGAAGAAGAAGAAAAAGAGCTAGGCAAGCATTGCACTGCACTTTTTGATCCCCACTCATCATCATTTATTTTTTTCCCTACAGAAAACCTGAAACATTGGAAGAACTGATAAAAATGCTATGTGATGTTTTCGATGTGCCATCACCACAATAAGTCGTGGAACTTACAAGGACAACTTCCAGAAAAAGAAAGTGTACTGAATAACTGGAAGTGGATCCACGGAAACACTACAGTTTTCAGACTAATACAGGCATCATGGCAAGTAACCGAAGCATTACTTATAAGTGCTACAAAGTGCATTATAATATTATCCCAAGGGTATTTGTGTGTAAGCGAATATAACAAACTCAACAGGAATTAGAACTCGGCTCTCCGATTAACAGTTCCGAGTCATTATCTATTAGACCATCTGCACAGCCATATTTACAGCAACTGGTATTCCCAAATAGTCACTCATCTAGGTACTTACCAGGCTTGATGTTGCTTAACTTTATTCTCTAAATATTGTTGGTCAGTTCACTTTCATTGTTTAATAGCCTTTTAATTTTTCTCTGATTTCTTTTGGTGACTTTCTTGAAGCCATTTTATTTTTTTTTTGTGCTTCTTGGCAATGTTTTCAATGTCTTTTTTATTGTTTTTATTCAACTTTAATACACTTTTCCCCAGATATGGGTTAAATAGCAGAGAAGATTCAGTTCTATAGCTGAATGGCAATCAGTCTAGAAGGACCTCTCTGAATTCAAAACCAGAGAGAAGGCAACGGGAAACGACTCTATAATCTTTCTCCAAGATTTTATAACAATTTACATTATTTTAAAGGAAAAGCAGTATTTGCCTATACCCTGAATGACTAATTGAATAGTGCTATTATGTATAATTCAAATGATTGGCTAATGATTTTACTATGGAAATCCATTGAAAATGAGTGAGAAAGGGATTGTCAGTGGTCATGAATTAATGGAAGTATTACTGGGAGAATAAGTTATTGCAAATGGTATTGCTATAGAAATGCATTAAAAATCAGGAAGAAAGGGATTGTCAGTGGTCAGAATTTATTGGAAGCCTTACTAGGAGAATAGGACATTCTAAATTCTTTTACTGTTGATATGTATTGAAAATGGGAAAGAAAGGGATTGTCAGTGGTCATGAATTAATAGAAACATTACTGTGAGAATAGGACATTACAAATGGTTTTACAAATAGTAAATTATAGACAAGTAAATCCTCGTAAGATTTCATGATTCAAAAAAATTATACAATGGAACTGTCGGGGCTTAAAACCAAAAATAAGCGATCTACTTCTTCTTATAACAAATCATCACCCCACTATCATCTGCCTACAGGAAACCTTCCTAAAAGCTGATGATAAAATAAAAATAAAAAACTATACACAATATAATTACGAAGATCCTCCCGAATGAATAGCATGCCAAGAAACTTATACCGAAAAACACTTCCTACTCGATTGAAGTGACTTAACACATATTTGGTAATCTCTTTACAAATGTTAACAACTTGATAGAACTTTTTGAAAAAACAAACCCCAAAACAATCTTAACCTTTCTTAAAAAAAGTTAAACTGTACAAAAAAATATAATACCAATTAAATATTTGACGATAAAAAAGTGACCTTTGACACTTACCAGGTGAAAAGTTTCAAAAACAACACAACTTTGAAAGCAATGAATATTTTTTAAAAAAAAGCAAGACAACACTGAAAAAAAAAAAATAATAATTTTTGAAAGCAATTCAACTTTATCCCAAAAATCAAACAAAAAAACAACAATTGTTTGACCTTAAATGAGCTCATAAAGATTGATAGGTCGTTAAACATTAAACAAACAAATAGTAAATTACATAATTATTTTTACATTCCTAATTTTTGTTAGTTTTCCTTTCAGAAAAGTGATTTTAAAGAATAAAGGGTGCATGTCGATGTTTTCTTTTTAGAGATCAATCTAATATTGATTTTTTTTTCTTTTTTTTTTTCTTCTCAGACAACTGATATAAAAGAAATAGCCCTCAAATCTTCAGAGTTACCCAAGGAAAACAAGAAGCGGTCACGAGTAGTCATTTTCACACGTGGAGATAAACCAACAATTGTGGTCAAAGGTAAGATTCTAATGCATTTTATAATTTTCTAAAATATTTTTTTTGAATGAACTTTATAAATGGCTCCTGTTTAAAAACAAATTAGTTTGGGAGGCAAGGATCAATAATCCTGGCTGGATAATTTTCTTTTCTCAGATATCATTTTTTATATTACTGAAATAAGTTAATATTTGGTTAAGATAAAGTGTGTATGAAAAAAAAAAAAAAAAATTCTTTTTCTTTTTGTATATTTTTATGTGTACTGAATAAAAAAGGGCCTTCATTTCTCCAGGAAATTTTTTTCTTAATTTTTTAAAGTCAGTTTTTTGATTTCCAATTTTTTTGAAATGCTAACAGGGTCTCCATTTTGTGCCTAGTATTATGGAAGTTGCTGGTATTTTTAATTGGTGCATTATGACTGCAATTCCTCGCCGATTCGTGGCAATGCATGCAATCTCCCCCGGTCCGTGACGATGCATGCACCCCCATCTACGTTTGTGATGATGCGTGCAACCCCTCCCCAGCCCGAGACAATTTGTGCAATAAAAGGTCCGTGATGATGTGTGCAATCCTCCCCGCTGGTCTGTAATGATGCGTATAATCCCCCACCCTGGTCTGCAACGATGCATCCCCCCAATTCACGATGATGCATGCAATCCCCGAAGGTCTGTGACGACATGTGCAATATCACCCCACGTTCGTATTGATGTGTGCATTCTCCCACCCGGTGCGCAACGATGCATGCAATCCCCCCTCATTTGCAATGATGTGTGCAGTCCCCCAAGTTCCATGATCCCCCCCCTGCCTGTTCGTGGCAATGCCAATAATTTTTAATTCCTTTATAATGTCTCTGATTTTTTTTTGATTGTTTCATAATGTCTATGACAGGAGGCATAGTGGAGTAATGGATAATGATTGAGGAATCGGAGAGCCAAGTTCGAATTCCAATCTAGTTCATTACATCCACTCATGTGCTAATACTTTTGAGAAAGGCATGAATCTACCTTGTCTCCCTCACTGCTATGGGTAAATAGCAGGCCTGACTGAGTCCTATAACCTTGGTTGGTGACTAGTCTAGGAGAAGGAAAAATTGAATTCAAGCTAGCCTGGAGAAGGTTTGGGATCTGTTAGGCTGTTGTGTCCACAACACATTACTATTGCAGTACACATGGCACCCAATGACCCTAAAACGTTACAGAACTTGTGATCGTGTATGTCTATAATTTTAAAGTATAAGGGGACAAAAAAGAATGTTGCATTTTCTTTTTCTCTCGGACTGGGAACTCAATTCATAATGTTATGAAAATCCCAACCTGACAGCTCATAAACTAACTTTAGGTTTTGAACTCAATAAAATAATTATTTTTTATTTTTAATTTTTAGGCTTTATACATTTTAAAATTACACACATTTTTATAAAGAGAGAATCCCAAATCTGAGTCCAGTTTAGAAGTATATTTAGACTCTAAATTTGTACATTCAATGTCATAATGGTGGATACGTCATCAGTGTTGTATTTGATATTATGTGGACATCAGCACTATTGTAAAAAGGATATGGTAAAAAGATATAAAAGAAATATGATAAAAGAAGATAAAGATGTAGTAAAAAGATATAAAAAGATATAAAAGATGTAGTAAAAAGATATAAAAGATGTAGTTAAAAGATGTAGTAAAAAGATATAAAAGATGTAGTTAAAAGATGTAGTAAAAAGATATAAAAGATGTAGTTAAAAGATGTAGTAAAAAGATGTAAAAGATGTAGTAAAAAGATGTAGAAGATGTAGTAAAAAGATATAGAAGATGTAGTAAAAAGATGTAGAAGATGTAGTAAAAACAGATATGGTAAAAAGATATTGTAACAAGATATAATGATAAAAAGATAAAAAATATAGTAAAAAGATAAAGATACAAAGATATAAAACATAAAGATATAAAAAGATAGTAAAATATAGTAAAACTCTATAAACATAAAAAAGGATATAAAATATATAGTATAAAGATATGATAAAAAAAAAGTAATAGATATACTAAAACAATATAAAGATAAAAAAGATATAATGATATAGTAAAAAGATATAAAAGTAAAATATATAAAGATGTAAAGGCAAAAAATATAAAAAGATATAGTAAAATATAAAAACTGAATATAGTAAGATAAAAGATTTTATAGATATAAAGAAATATAGTAAAAAAAAAAAAAAAAATTAGTCCAGTTTAGAAATGTATTTATATTGTAAATTGTGCATTCAATATCACAATGTTGAACGCATCATCAGTGACGTTCTAATAAAAAAGCCCACTTTAAAGTCACTTTGATCATTTCCACTTTAAAACTTAAATGTTTTGCAGGATAAAAAAATTTCTCGGAGATGAAGAAAAAAAAAAAAAGCAGAACAGACTATGCCAGAAGAATACATTTTTTTTTTTTTTTTTTTTTTTTTTTGCAAAATTATACACTTTAACTTACTAAAGGTTTGAAAACATGGACTGTCTCTCCCACAGAAATATACAGGGTGTCCATAAAGTTCGTGTGCACTTTAAAAAATTTATAACTTTATTTGTATTTGCGATAGAAATAATCTGTAAAAAATGTTATAAAGTTTAATGTACCTAGTTTAAAGTATAGCTAAAATAACTAATGTGATTTCAGGCATTACTGTAAATCAGTTGGCAAATGTTTTCCGTGAGCTGCAAAATCGTATTACCCTTTGTATTGCTAATGATGGAAGACATGTGGAAGCTTACATAAAATTTCAATAAAACTTTAAAAAATATAGATTTTCTTCTTTCTAATCCTTTGTACAAATTATTTCTATCACAAATATAAATAAAGTTATAAATTTTTTAAAGTGCACACGAACTTTATGGACACCCTGTATATTTGCAGAAATTGAATGTAACAATATTTTGTTTCAGCAGCAAACCAGGTAGACATAAACATATATGGAAAAGAGAAGTGAATTAAGATTTTACTTGGTTAGTTGATATGGTCGCCATTGAGTCAATGATTTTGTTTCAGTCATAAATAATGGTGAGAGAATATGAAAAGCTATTCTAGATTGATTCCAACTAACGAGTTGGCTTAACTTTCACACTTTTCGCAAAAAGTATCTCGTATTTTTTTTTTGTCCCTTGACACGTGCACAGTCAGGAGCAGAGAACCAAGTTTTGTAACTTTACAGGTGTTTTTCGATTTCATTCTTTTCAGAACATCACTAGTTGTTTATAAAATACCCTTTATTTTTTTTTTATTCAGTCAAGCTACCTTGGATTTTCATGAGTCAGAAGGTCATTGGTGCGGCATTCTGTGTCATGACATATGTGGTCAATGTTGGTGGTTACTTGGCATCAAGCCGTCTAGCACCATGGCTAGATGTCCAGAGCAGTGGATCGCTCGTTAGTTCTCGTTTTGCTCACCAGCGGTGTCCTGCAAAGTGCATTCTACATTTGCATAAGATTGTAGAAATATTAGGGAGGCATCCATAGAGCAGTGATTTACAGTATTTACATTAGTCAGACTATTGTCCTCATCTTTGTCGCCATATTTGTCACAACATTTCGGCCTTTCAGTATCTATCTATATTTCTGAGATGAGGTATTATGTACACTATTTACATTATTCGGACTATTGTCCTCATCTTTGTCACGACGTTTTGGCCGTTGTACGCTCCGGCCTTCTTCAGGTGGTTGGAATTTCGAACTGAACCCTTTATTTCGATCACTGGGGTAGACTGTTCTAGTTCCACGTGCCATGTTTGATGGATGTCAGTTATCAGTTATCTCCTAATTTTTCCCTCTGAAAGTTCTCCACTGCCTTAACCAGGTATTGAACTCACCTTCTTTGGGTCTTTCACTGGATCTAACCAACGCCTTTATCCACTGTGCCATGTGTCCTTGTCAGCAGTGATTTAGTTGGAGGTTGTCTTCAACGGATGTTAAGTATAGCTCTCAGAATCCGAGTGTAGGATCCATCAAGCCTAGATTCTAGGGTTTTAGATAATGTCCAGGCAGTGGCATCATACCATTAACACCGCCTCTAGAGTGGCTTGAAAGAATCTCTGCTTGAGGTTGTATGGTAGATCAGATTTCCAGATTACATCCATTTTGTTTAAGGTGGCTGCCCAGGTTTTAGTTATGCAAATTTTCATATCCTTTTCATTAGAATTTATTTCACCTCCTAGGTATATAAAAGACTAGTGGTATTATCAACTTGCTTGGGGTAAAATGATTAAAAAAAAAAAATTGTGTATATGCTTTTAGGAATTAAATCTTTCAAAATTATCTGTTAAATGGATTGAGATTTTTTTTTTTTTTTTTTTTATAGGTTATCTGTCTATATCTTATTGTGGCACCTTGCATTATTAGAAATATTCATAGAAATATGATTTAATTTTTTTTCTTACTCGGTTACTAAACAGGTTGTTAATTTTTTTTTTTAACGGAAAATAACTGAGTTGAAAATAATTCACTAAGAGTGTACTAGACGATCCTAAGGAAAGAAGAAGGAAAGAAAGGAAAAAGGAAGGAAGGGAAGAAAAAAAAAAGAAAGAGAAATGTATGACGATGACCCAATTGAGGGTGGAGATAGGAGTCAGAAAGAGATTTAGGTCAGCGTCTTGGCGATTTTTCGAAAGTCATTTTGGTAAGAATGTCGGTCAGAGCACCTAGCCTACTTTTGCATGGAAAGACACCTTATCAATTTGGATAAAGAGAAATTTTGGGAACAATGAAACAATTTTTAATCAGGGAAAAGTGTCTTTGGGTTGAGGGGAGTGACCGGTGGAACGATATACAGACCTGTTAAGAATTGGACACCCACGTTAATAAAGTAGAGACATTTCAATGTAGATAATTAAGATTTTCGACTATCAGGTAAAACAAAGAGGTAAAAAGAGGGACAATTGCTTTTGGCTCACAGAGGGCGCCAAGAAGGCGGAAAAGATCCTTTCTAAAGTCAAGACTAATTAGCAGCGGGCTGTTTAACAAAGTCCAGGTGAGAGAAAGCCAAAGATTGTCATT